CCCCCCCCCCCCAGGTCAGAACCAGAAGGAGCTTCCAGGGCTCAGCTAGCTGTGGTTTGTGCACAGCGTCACCAGGTGGCGTCCTCCACCCCCCAGTTTCATCCCAGCTGAGCCACGCCTCCCAGGTCCTCCTCCCATTCCTGGTCCATTGTCTCTCACGGGGGCCTTTCAGTGGCCCTTGGAGGATCACAGGGCAGGGATTAGAGTTGGAAACTGAGACTCAGAGGGCGTATATGGCTGGGAGTGTGGGCTTTTGAGCCAGAATCTCAGCTCTGATACTAGCTGGATAACCCTGGGCAAATTACCCTCTGAGCCTCAGTAAGTGCTCCAAAAATGCAAGTTATACTAGTGATTATATTACCTTCTAAGGGCCACACTGCTTCCCAGCCCCCTGTCCCACGAACCCAGGGCTACTAGAGAAGGGGCAGTGACAGAGTGGCAGGGAACCCAGTTCTCGTCCTGACTTCGCTTCCCGTCCCCCCCACCCCACCCCGTGCCCCCGGGCAGGTCCTGGCTTTCTCTTGGCTGTAATGGCCTCATCTACATCATAGAGACAGCAACCCCCAGGTTGTGAAGTCCAGTGACTCGATGGCCATCCAGCAAAGTGACAGCGGTGCAGGTTCAGGTGTGAGAGCATTTCCGCCTGCATCGGCTTGGCTCTCGGGGACTCTGACCCCATTCCACGTGGCATCTCCCGCATGCTCACGCCAAGCCCCATAAAGCTGTCAGAGGTGGGGTTTATGGGCCTGGGCTGCCTCTTGGAGTGAGAACGGCCACAGCTGACTGCCCTTTATGAATTTACAAAGGGCTATCTGCCACCACTTCCAGGGGCATGTCTGAGCTGGCAGCCAGCAAGCCAGGGACCAAGGCTGGGGCACAGTGCCTGGGCTGTGTCGCTTTTGTCCCACACTCCCAGCCAGCCTGCGGTGGACTTCTCCACCGTAAACGGCAGGTCGCTCCCAAGCGAGGCATTTTGCTTCCGTTCAGGCCGGAAGCGCCCTGGAGTCAATGCACGTATGTTTGCTCTGGTCACCGAGTACCTACTGTGTGCCAGGCCTTGTCCCAGGTGCTTGGGATTCGGCCATGAACAAAATGGGACAAAGCTCCCTGTCCTTCGGGCACCCATTTCTACTGAGGTGACAGACAAGAAACAGTTATACAAATTACATAAAATCGTGGAAGATGATAAAGGCTCTTGGGAAAGTGAAGCAGGAAAGAAATGGTGGCAGAAGGTGGAGGGTGCAATACTTTGCAGGCAAAGACGGAGAAGAAGTGATCCCCAGAAACCCCGTTGGCAGGAAACGGGGGCTCGGAGAAGTGCAGTAACTTACCCAAGGTCACACAGCAAGAAAGAGCGGAGCAAGTGCCCATTGACCCTCTGCGCCCTGACAGACCCACCTGTCCTGAGTCCCGAAGACCCACAGGTCCCTGCCAAGGTCCCTTTGGTTCGATTTCATGTCTGCTGCGGCACGTGTATTCCACCCCAGCCCTTTTCTGAGGCTAGAGAAGGGCCATGCCTAATGGAGATCACCCGGTGGGGGTGAGCACCCACACCTCTGCCCTGGAGGGCCCACAGGCCCCAGCTGGGGCAGTCCTGGGGCTCCTGACCTTACCCCAGCCTTGTTTATCCTGTCCCTTTGCTGCTGCCACCAGGCCAGAAAAACCAGCCGGGCAGGACAGGCTGCTGCTAGCACCAGGACTCAGTTGGTCCTTGAGGCTTTTGTTACAGCCCAGAGGCCGGGCCCTGCCCCTCTTTCCCCCCACCCCGCCCACAGTGGGCGGGTGTGGGGGTCACACACAGAGACAAACACACCCACGGCTGCAAAGAAAGGGACTCACGGAGCAGAGAGAGAGAGAGAGAGAGAGACCTCCCCCTCCCCCCCACACCCCTAGACACGAGAGACAGGGACACCAGGCACACGCAAGCCCCAGGACACTCACACAAACACCGTGGGCACTGCCCACTGTTGTGGACCAGCTCCACATGGCCCCTCCTCTGGCCTCGCCCGGGTCGAGACCCCTTCCTGGCTGCCCTTCCCGCCTCCAGCTCAGCAGGGCTCACAGGGCACGGCTGTCTGCACTCAAGCCATCCCCCCCTGCCCAGTTCGGGGGTCATCTGGAGTCAGACATGGATCCCCCTATGTGCCCTGCAGCTCCCCTGGGCCGGGGGGAGGGAGAGTCCACAGAGGGTCTAAAGTGTTCTCAAACACCTCAAGGCTCCACCCGGGCCTTGAAGGATGGCTAAGGCCAAGACCACAGAGGAAAGGGAAGGTGTTCCTGGGGAGATCACTAGCAAGGGTCCCACGAGGCTGGAAGATAAGCTGGCTAGAGAGAGCGAGACTGCCCCAGATGCTGAGTCCTTGGGGCCACCGGATGGAAGTGGCCCTGCTCAGCCTCAGACAAGCGTGATCACTGATCAGGAGGGGCCACGCCTGGCTTCCATGGCCGCCCCTGGCTGTGGGCAGGCCTCTCTCCTTTCTGGGTCCCACGCTCCTCACTACAGAACAGGAAGGTTGGACCAGGTGGGAGAAGGGACAAGGCCCGTCGTTTACTGAGGACCTACTATGCACCACACACAGGTGAGGGGCTGGAACACGCAAGCATCCCAGATTTGAGAATTCTCCCAATTCTCAGATTGGAAGGCTCTAGAATTCCTGGGTCCCTCGTCCCTTTCCTGTCTCATCTCCTCTTCTCTGCCCGCCGATCGTCCTGTGTGATCAGGGAATGCTTTGTTCCTGATAACTTTCCTGGTAACTGAAGGTAACCTCCAAGCACCAAAAAGTTCAAAGTTGTGGTCCGTTGGGGTTGAGGTCATTTTCTTTTTCTTTCTTTGTTTCTTTCTTTCTTTTTCTAATGTTTAATGTTTATTTTAATTTGAGAGAGAGAGAGAGACGGATCACAAGCGGGGAAGGGGCAGAGAGAGAGGGAGACATAGAATGTGAAGCAGGCTCCAGGCTCTGAGCTGTCAGCACAGAGCCTGACGTGGGGCTCGAACCCATGAACCGTGAGATCAGGACCTGAGCTGAAGTCCGAAAGTTGGATGCTTCACTGACTGAGCCACCTGGGCGCCCCCTGGAGATCATTTTCACAGCCACTACCCCCTTGTCTGTCCCCTTACCCAAAGGGGAGGGGCCGTCCTTACCCCAGGTTCCTCCTCCTGCCTCTGCACCAGGTGGCCCAGACATGGAGTCCTTGGGGTCCGTCTCCTGGTTTCTCACTTGCCCGGCTTCGGGTTGCCTCACTCCACTGCTGGGAGAGACACTCCTCCCCGAACACCCCTGCCAAAGTCTAGGGACCGGGGAAAACCTGATCTCGCAGGGACCGGACACTAGGGAGTCATAGGGCTTAGAGGCTGCGTCAAGGGGAGTGTGTGGCCTCTGGGAGGCTGTGGCAGACCAGACAGGGCAGGAGGCCCCGTCCGCCTGCCCGCCCCAGTTCCATCCCAGGAACACGGGCATGCATGTCGGCCGGCCGACAGCGTGCGCGGCTTAGTCACCTGGGAACAATGCTTGCTGATGAGCGGCTTTGTCTCGGGTTTGGGGATCACTGCTCCACCCGGTCCCAGAACTGGCTCCGCTTGGAGCTAAGCTGCCCCGAGATCTGGATGTGTCTTAGAGAGGGTGTCGGGTCTATTTCAGGGTCAGGACAGCTGGAGGGCTGGAATCACAGCTCAGAGCGGACCGGACAGGAGAGGGTTTCAAGAACAAAGCACCTGATGAGCATTTAAGCCTTGGGCCTTGACGCTCTAGTCCCTGGGTCTAGCCTCTCCCAGCTGGGCTAGCCCTCAGGGCCCACTCCGGCCTCCCTGCCTTTTCCGTGTGTAGTATGCAAGCCATTATGCGCAGTGGGTCAGAAGAAGCCCGTACAAGGGGCTGAGGAACCCAGGGAGACCTCTGACTCTGACTGAGTTTGGGCCATTTTACCTGGGCTTTGAGGCATGAGTAGGAGCTTGACTCGAGAAGAATTTGGAGAAAACTGTGTATGCAAAGGCTTGGAGGGGAGGTATGTTGGAGTGGAGAGAGAGATTCTGTGTGGTTTGGACCCCTTAACATGGGCAGGGTGGGAGGCATCCCACTTTGCCCACCACCCCCCCCCCCCCCCCAACACACGAACAGAACAGATTCACCTTCAACAATTATCTTCAGTCTTTAATCTTAAACCTTCAACCGAGCAGCGCACCCGCCCCAGGACTGACGCTGGAGGAACCACAGGTCCCAAGCCTTCTGGGCTCTCAGCTCCACCAGCCACCTGGGCAGGAAGCCCTTCCACGGGCAGGTTCCTAAGCTGGCTTCTTTCTGCTGGGGAGCCGGGGTTCTGCTGTGTTCTCCCCAAAGTCACCAGCAGAGTCCCCACCTCCTGCAACCCCCCTCCGGGGAGTGCATCAGCGCCCCCCATTGGGCAGGTGAGGAGGCCGAGGCCCAGAGGCCCAGGTGAGCTGACCGGAGCAAGGAAGCGTGGCCGTGGTCTTTTGGCCAGGCCCAGAGGATGAGAGGGAAGGCCTCCTGGGGATCACAGCCCAGGGAACAACGTAGTGCAGTAGCAGTCCTGGACTGTGGCTGACAAGGTCTGGCATGTTCCCCGTATCACAATTAGAATTACGATTACTGCTATTGTCATACAACGAGAACCAGCAGGGGAGCATGCTAGAATGACGCTTGACACATGGGAGCTTGGATGTGGCCCCAGCTCCGTTTTCTGTTGCCGCGTGTGACCCTGGGGGGGGTCACGGTTTGCACTCGGGGCCTCAGTTTCCCCGCCGTACAAAGGGCTCGGTTTGCACCTCCTGGACCACGTGGTGGGGCCGGCCACCCTTGCAGAAGGGAGGGGAACTGCAATGGTTTGTGCTGCCCATTGTCTTAACGCTGGCCCCACCTCTGGTCCCAGTCCATCATGACCTGTCCCAGCGTATGGGACATGCTGCGTGCGGGAAGAGAGTATATGAAGTGTATGAAGGAGGTGAGGCTGGGCAGGTAATCAGAGCCAGATCTCGAGTCCGAGGTGTTAAGATTTTCTCCCGAGGGCAATGGGGAGCCATAGAAGGTTCTTGAGGTAGGGGGCAGATAGAGACATGAAGCATCCGACACACCTGAGCTCCTCTCCCACCTGCAGGCTTTGGTCTGAGTCAGCATGGTCTGAGGACTCACTCTTCATGGGACCGTGAGGGCCGGGAGAGGGCTAGGGGAGACTGTCACGTCTGAGGGGCATATTGAAGAGGTGTGAGAAGAGAAGCCCGTTTATTGGTTGATTTATTTTTAAAGTTTATTTATTTTGAGAGAGAGAGAGAAAGAGAGAGAGAACGAGTGGGGAAGAAGGGCAGAGAATCCCAAGCAGGCTCTGCACTGTCAGCACAGAGCACGAGTCGGGGCTTGAATCCACGGACCGTAAGCCCACGACCTGAGCCGAAATCAAGAGTCGGACGCTCAACCGACTGAGCCACCCAGGCAACCCCCTCCTCCGAGAGGAACACGTTCAATGCTGCCAATTAGCCACAGGCAGCATTTTCTGAACCCTTTTCCAGAAGGAAGGTGCTACCATTATCCAGAAGCTGAGGTTTAGAGAAGTTCAGTGACCTGCCTAAGGTCTCACGTCGACCTGCCCTCCCGCCCTGCACCTTCTCCCCCGACTGCGGGTCTCAACCCGGGCTGAGAGGGGCGAGCTTCCAGGGGGAGGCAGAAGGGAGGCCCCGGGGCCCCGCTGAGGCTGCCCCTCTCCGCTAGCTACGGCGACCAGGTACAGCACTTCAAGGTGCTGCGCGAGGCCTCGGGCAAGTACTACCTGTGGGAAGAGAAGTTCAACTCCCTGAATGAGCTGGTCGACTTCTACCGCACCACCACCATCGCCAAGCAGCGGCAGGTTTTCCTGCGGGATGAGGAGCCCCTGCTCAAGGTAGGGGCCCCCCCTGCCTCCCCCCACGTGAGCCTCCGCGGGGGGCCGGGACGCCTGCCGGGTCTGGCCACCCCCCACCCCCACCGGCAGCCCCGCATCCAGCCCAGGCTCTAGAGTCCGACTCTGGTGGCACTGCGGTGAGACACGCAAGGGTGGGGACGGAGAGGGAAAGGAGAGGAAAGAAGAGAACGGACGTGACGCGGGGCCACCAGTGTCTGGCTTGTTCTCAGCTCCTGGCGCAGTGCGTGGGTCACAGTAGGCACTCGGTGTGAATTTGCGTGAATGAAGGTACAGACACCTGCCGAGCCTACTGGGTGCCGTGCGCGCTGAGCTGGGCTTAGTATGCTGGGGTCCTCATCTGGCCATTGCCCAGGTGAGGAAACTGAGGCGCACCCAAGACCACCCACCGGGTAGGCTCAGTCCGGGTTTCTGGCCCCGAGGAGCTGGTCTTGGGTGGGGTGGAGGCAGTGTGAGCACTCGTGGGTGAGGGCCTGGCTGGGCTCAGGGTGTGTGTGTGTGTGTGTGTGTGTGTGTGTGTGTAGTGGGGGGTGGGTATCCAGCCGCCACTGGTCCTCGCAAGAACAGCAATTTGCTAGCCAGCCCTTTCATCAAGGGGCCCCTAGGACCAGCCCTCGCTCTCATTAGAATGATGATAGCAGCCAACAGGGTTATTA